CTGATTTTTTTTTTTTTTTTTTTTTTTTTTTTTTTTTTTTTTTTTTTTTTTTTGGCTTTTTAATTTTTTTTTTTTTTTTACCCATGCTATTAGAAAAGAAAGTATTGGAGAGTGTATTACTGAGTGATGCACCTGTTCTCAGAATTAAATAGCATTTTAAGAGTTAAAAAGATGACCRTGAAAACCAAGGTTTGATAACATCATTGAGTGATCATACAAATACAACTCCTGCAGAAAGGCAGTGTCAAGGAAGAGGGGGAGGAAGCTGTGGCTTGGGAGCTTTGCAGTAAAAAAGTATCAACTGAGACACATTTCTAAGGAAAGGGCTCACTGGGGCTGAGCCAAGGAACAGTTCTTGATGCAAGACTTCCCAAACCATAGAAAAAGTGGAAGCCAAAAAAAAATTAGTTTTCATGGTCRTCTTTTTAACTCTTATAATGCTRCTTAATTCTGAAATCAGATATATTTTTCCCTCATTTTGCCTCTGGTTGAAGAGCTCCAAATGCCAGAATCTTTCTCTGGTGTACAACACTATAGACCCTGGAGAACCTAGAACAGGGAACAGCCCATTTGGAAAAGGCTGGGAACTGTGWATTTCAAAGAGATGGGTGAATTTGAGTCACCAAACGCCTCTCTGTGAGAAACCATGGTGGCAGAGGCTGTCCTGASTCTAACAATCATGCATTTGGGGAAATAAATCCAGCAGTGGGATCACAGTGTAAGGCAGGCCATCCTCAATGTTCTGAGGGCTGAGGCATTATTCCAGTAACTCATTTCTAAAATCTCAAAAGTGGGTGCCAAYTAATAAACCATGTAAATGTGGATGYCAGARCATGCAGGGAGGGATATTTTAAGTCTGGATCATTCACAGTAACCATAACATTGTTTTTCCCTGGCAGCAAAATTTAATCTCAGTGTCACAGGGATATAATATTGCGTTAATAAAAGAACTGTCTGTTTACTGCAAGAGTTGGTCACTTCACTGTCCCTGACAATAATGTGGCAATTTCAAACAGAAAGGAGAAAAGCTCTGTTCAGGAGCTGTGGTTCCTGCTTTTTCTGGTCTCCTGACTAACTCAATTTCTTAGGAAAGAGTATKCTTAGAAAAGGAAGTTCTGAAATAAATTCCTACTTTTAATTACATGTATGAACTTATATACTGAATACAAAAAATACATTTCACAGTAGAAATTTATAACAGAAGAGGTATAAAACATTAGTATGAATGGGTGAAAATTTAAATTTCAATGATAATATGTGAATATACTATGCAATTAAAAAATTAAATAGAAAACTAATTGAAAAATAATTTCTGCATTAAACAAATATAGTATTATGCAAATATAGTGTTATTTAAATTTAAGTGATTGTCAAGAATGAAAACCAAATCAATTTCTTTAGCTTTCAGCTTTTTTGTTTGACTTCTTTTTCCCACATAGATGACTTCAAATTGAARCTGCCCTAATTCAGTCTGAATCTAGATAAAACTCCATTTCTGCTGGCAAAACATGTAGCTTGAGTAAAGTATTTAACACGTGGCTGGCAGGACAGGAGTACCCACTTCAGCAGAGGCTGTAATTTGTAGAAGGGTGGCCTTCAGCAAGTTTTAATTATTCATCAACTTTTTTATTGTTCATCAACTTTAACATTACTTTTCAGGGACAACTTATATGAAAACCTCATYGCCCCATGCTCTGATGTTTGGTTATTAACTTGAAGTGTGTTTACTTAAGCAAGGAATCATTAATTTTTAATTGATACCAGGTAGGAAAATACCAAGRTGTGTTGAATGCAATTAAGTGGACAGAGCTTAATGACATTTATGTGAAGCTGCTGAGGTAAAGAGAAATGGGGCTCCCTCTTGCCCATCTCTGACTAATTACACCAGATATTTGTGCAGAGCCTTTGACACACAGCTGGTTTCCAGAGGAGCCTGTGAGTCTGGGAGCTGCCAGTGTCTGTCCCTTGCTCCTCACACACTCCTGCTACCTTGGGCAAGTGCTGCCAGAAAAGAAATAGTTTCATAGCAATCTCTTTCAGGCTGGCAGAGAGAGCCTTGATTTTCTTCCTGCCCAAGAATGCCATTTTATATTAAACTTCTTGTCAGCACTAGATGACTCAAGCTTATTTCAACAGAACTTCATTAGTCCAAATTTAACCTTCATAACCTCTGCTATCACATAACATAGCATTGCCCAGAGCTATAAAGTGTGTGAGACATGTGAACCTGGAAATGCAATTACACTGTCTAAGGGGATTAGACTCAGCAGGTAAGGCAGTTTATCCACACACGGCCAAAGGCTGCTGTGAGTTACAAAAATGGAAAAAAAATAGGGGACAAACACACCACAGCTGCCCTCACTTTGCTCTTCCTCTCTTTTTCCTTTCCTTTCCTTTCCTTTCCTTTCCTTTCCT